GTGCATACTAGATGACTTCATAGGGTCACTTGGGCCTTAACCTTAACAGACAGAGCGTTAAAGTTCATGGTGAGGTGTTGGGAGCATTGCAGGGGCGGGGGGTTAAGGAGCTTTAGGAACAGCTGCATTGGCACAGTGTGGGGAGTGGACAAGTCAGTCCCTTGGTGAGGCCATGGTTACCTAGTGAGGCCATGGTTACCTAGTGAGACCATGGTTACCGTGGCTGAGGCAGCACAAGTAGGGACAGACCAGAGGCCTGGAGAGCACATACTGGGTTGTTACCCCAGTAGAAGCTTTGCCTTGACAGTGGAAACCAACCACCTCTGGTTGCCAAAATAGGCTCATGCAGCCGGCCTCACTGTCAGCTCCTTGGCCCTCGTGGGGCTGGTTCTTTGCTTCTCTCGTCTGCCTAGTCATGCTCTCCCTCGCTCTGTGGGGAATATAGGGTTAATGAGGCCCCGTGCCTTGGGGAGAGCAGGTACTGCTTGGTCCCCAGGGGCTGACGTGTAGCCAGAGCATCTCTTTGCTGTCCCTCTGCTTTGACTTGTTGTCTCAGGCCTGCTGCTGTGCCTGAGTCACCTCTGTCCTCTAATGCTCAGCACAGCCTGTTAGGGCCACGAATCAGGTAGCCAGTATTTTTAACTTTGGGGCCGTACGGTCTTTGTCATTACTAATCAGCCCTGCCCTGTAGGTGAAAGCAGCCAGTGCATACTTAAGTTGGCATGGCTGTATCTCAGGAAAAGCATTCACCAGAGCAGGCCCGGGCAGTAGTTTGCTGACCCCTGAAATAGGGAATAAACTCTGGCCCAAGTTAATCCTTCCCTCACTAGGAAGTACATGTTGGAACAATGTCACCTTGGGGCTTCCTTGAGATAATCCACTCTTGCCCTACCTCAGTTTCTCCCTTTCTGATGATTGGGCTGGCTGGGGAATTTCTTTCCTTGATAATTAGCAGTACAGTTGCTAAGACTGTTGGCAGAGAAGGTCTAGGGTGGCTGTTTTTAGGGGGTGCTCATTTTGTGTGGAACATGTGGACTTTGTGAACCTAGGGGTGGGAGAAGGTGAATGGTATTGTTGGGTTTCACCTTGGAGTTTTTTGGCTTAATGTCTTGTTCCCAGGACTGGATTGGAGCGAGTGTAGTAAATATTTGGGGGCAGATGCAATTGAAGAATTTTAAGGACAGCGCAAGTGTTTGGTGAGTGCAGACTGATAGGAGGAGACCAGAGGTGTGCAGCTTCCATGAGGCCAGGCCTCAGAAGGGATGATGGGGCCCTCTGGGGGTGGGCACCTTGGAGATCCCAGGTTTCCCTGTCAGGTGCCCATGACCCCTGAGAGCTGTCTCTGGGCTGCCCATGGGCACTGCAACTTGAGTGTCTCTATGGAACTGGAGCTCCCTAGACAGCAGCCAGTGTCTGGCCAGGGGCTCCTTTCCTCAAGTTAAAAAGGGAGCCAGCCTCACTTGTCTGAGCTGGGGAGGGTGAAATGGCAACAGTGAACTTCTGTTGCCCAAAGTGCAGTGACTTGATTTCATGTAAATCACCAATCACTGCCTTCTCACCAAGCATGATATCCCTCAGACTGGAAATTCTTATGTTTGGGTAGGATGCAGACTCGGGGTGTTGTGTGTGTGCGCATGTAAGTAGAGTACCCAGGTGCAGGGTCAAAGCCAAACCATAATGATTTATCAAGGGAGCGGAAGAGTCTCTTATGAGTTGGTAATTGTGTACTTAAGGGTTACTTGATACTGTTTTAAATGTATGGGTTGGAAATAAAAACAGTAAAAGCTCTCTAAACCCAACCAATGCAGGGTAATGGCAAAACAGCCCAAATGATATATCGGTGAAGAGTGATTATAGTTTTAGAGAAATACTCCCAGTTCTGATGGTGCTAAGTGGTCTCTGCTTGGTTTCTGTTCCTTTGTGAATTTTGCACTAATTGTATTGAGGGGCTGCTGCTGTGTGAGCTCCTCAGATTGGTTCTTTCTCCCTCAATGTTTAACCATCTCTGTTCATTCATTCCATAAATATTTATTGAGCACCAGTATGTCAGACAGTGTTGTAGGTGCTTGAAATAAAATTAGGCACCAGGCATACAGACACCACTTTCCTTGTGGCATTTATGTTCTTGCCAGGTAAGAAAGTCCATAGATATAGTAGCTGTGTTGTGTGGAGTTTGGGAAAGGGCCAGGGCCGTGAGGATGAAGGGGGCAGGGTGAGCAGGGTGGGCCTCTTCGAGGGAGACAGTTGAGCAGTGATTTGGAGGTACACGGAGGAGTTAGCCATCAGGGGGAGGGTGATGGAGGAAGAGGGTGCAGCTAGCACAAACGCTCTAGCAACTACTGGTAGAGCAGGCAGTATACAGACATTTCTGAGAAACTAAAGCTGAATATGGACTAGGCGTTTGTTGACACTTAGGGATTATCATATGGTAGTTATGTTTTCAAAGGTCATTTTTAACTTAGGATACAAATTGAAGAATTGATAAAATCATGAAGTATCTGGGATTTTGTTGAAAATATAAAAGGACCCCAGGATGGGAGGGTGCCTGGTATGTTGGAGGCACGGCCATGTTGAGGCCAGCGTGGCTGGAGGAGAGTGGACAGGCCTCCGGGGCTAGGAGAGGATAGGGCTTCACTCTGAGTGAACGTAGGGCCTTTGGAGGGTTTTGAGTTGAGGAGTGAAAGCAGGGGGTCCAGTTTGCAGACCTTTTCCTACCAAGGGGGAGGGTAATGTGGCTAGTGGAGGTGTGAGAGGTGGTTGGACCCCAGATATGTTTGGCAAAATCAGTCAGATTTCCTGATGGATTGAGTGATGGGTAGTCCGATCAAGAACGCAACTCCAGATTTTAATTTGAGTATCTTGTAAGACTGGATTTGCCATGAGCTGAGATGGGTAAAGCTATGGTGGAGCTTAAAAGTCTGAGGTGACCTTAAAACTTGCATGTTGTATTCTGTCCCATGATGCACTGTGTGCATTATGATAGCAGATTAAGGTGACCTTTCTCCTTGCAGGGTTAAATTAACCCTTTAGGGAAATGTATGTCTTATGGTCTCACTGAGTTAGGGTACTTGGCTCTTTGTCAAAAATCATTTGTCCACATGTTCATGGGTGTATTTTGTTCATCTATCTACTTGTCTGTCTTTATGTCTGTATTACACTCTATTGGTTACTGTAACTTTATGGTATGTCTTGAAATCAGATTGTGTTGTCTTCCAGATTTGTTTCTCTTTCGGTGTTTCACTGTTCTAGGTCCTATGCATTTCCTTATAAATTTTGGAATTTAATAATTTTTTTTCCTGCAGAAAAGCATCCTATAATTTTTGATTGGGGCTTTGACTCTGGATCAAGTTATGGGAGAATTGACACCTTCTGACCCATGGGAAGGTCCTCTATTTATTTAGGTTTTCTTTCATTTCTCCTAATGATACCTTACTGTAGTTTCAGGTTGTAGGTCTTGCACATCTTTTTTAAGTCAAATTTATCCTTAAGTCATTTATGCTAGTATTAATAGATTTTTTTAAAAAGCTTTGAGTTTTGGTTGTTTGTTGTCAGTGTGTAGACATACTGTTGATTTTTGTGTATTGACCTTGATTCTGAAGAGGGCAGGTGCTTGGAAAAGCTCAGGGCCCCCGCTTCTGAGACTTCCCTCTCTATGGCAGAGAGAAACCTTGGCTTGGAAGGTATGAAGGAACTAGGATTAATGGCATCCACTGTGTTTACCAGTCTGACTAGGGCCAAAAAGAGTGGCAGAAAGGGCACCTCTCCCTAAGCAGCTCTGGTGGTGGCTGCAGCCAGCCAGCCCTGGGCCTCACTAAGGACGATGCTGTGTGTTCCTTGGTGCCCAAGGATCTTTCCATAGAATTCACTGATACTTGCTTATTTTGCAAGTTCTCCTGTGAGAGTGTTTCTCACCATCCATGAGCTGTGAATTGCTGTGAACCCAGTTTAAAAATAAAGGTTTCATATCAGAGCAACCTCCTGGTAGTCATGTGGATGCAAAGAATGACAACGGAGGTGATATTGACAATGTTCGGCAAGCTGCAACTGACAGAACTGCCTGGGCACCTGAGATTTGGCTGGTTCGCTAGGTTCAGCCTCTGTGCCCAGAGCCCTGGACATCTGACATCATAAAGGAGGGGAGTTCCTAGGGCCATACTTTCTCTGTGACCTTGGGAGAGTTCCTGAACATTCTTGGGCCTTAGTTTTCCTATCTGTGAAACAGGCAGCCCCTTCCTCCCTGGGCAGTGTAAGCCCTTTGGAGATGATCCCGTGGTGAAACTTCCAATTGCCCTGCAACAGTGAACCTGCCTCCATGTGAGAGGTGAAGTTTGCTTGTTCCCAGCACCTCATGCACTCAGCTTCTTGAGGACAAACCCAGTACTGCCTGAAATGGTGGGTGGTTTCCTTGGGGTCTGTGTCAGGGAGTAGGCACTGGGAAGGAGAGAGATCATATCTAGAGAGGAAGACCTGGGTGACCCTGGGCAAATTCCCAAATATCAGATGTGTTAGGTCCCTTATCTATAGAAGGAAGTTGATTTTATAACTTACCCCTAAGATTGTCCTGGGGATTCAGAGAAATACTGAGTTTTAGCATAGTACCCAGAACTAACTAGTGAACATCTATTAAAAGCTAGTATTTTTATTTCTATCATGTGTCATTACTGTTATAGTCAAAACCTTGAATCATTTTCTGTGTGTTCAGTATGTTGGCATGTGCTTGTGTACTACCTCTTGTCTCCATCCATATTGCTAAAGATGGGATCTTTAGTGTCTAGCATGTTAGTTATTGGTTAGCACATTTTATTGGGTTATATGCCAGAGACCGATAGAAATTGATTTCTCCAGCTTGCCCTCATGTAGAAGGTAGCAGAGGCATAGCTCTGGTTGAAGTCTAGAAATTGGCTGTGTAATTCCAGGGATTGGAGACATTTAAAATTGCTGATATGTTCCAGAAATTTTCCTTGCAAACTCAGTGTTTCTTCCTCTGTCCTTTGCTTTAGGTTGGCCAGCACGTTGACAGAAGTTGCCTTTTGACTTAGTGCCCACCATGGCTGGTTGGTAGGACCACCGTCCTGTGCTCAGAAGCCAGGTGAGTCCTTAGGGTCTGGTATTTGTGGAGTGGAGGCACTGACTTGCCAGGAGGCCTCGTTCAGGCCCTTGGACATTTGAAATGGAGTGCTGCTTCAAAAACTGATGGCCACCTCCTAGAGGAGAAGGAGGAAGGCATGTCTCTCTGGCATTGCATGGTGGGCTATCTCCATTGGGCTGCCCAGGCCCTGCCTCTTCCAGGATGGCCATTTGCTCTCTCTTTGCTTCTCAGGGGTTGCTTGAAAAGCCCAGACCCAAGTAGGATGAGTCATACTCTGTGAGGATCAGGGGCAGAGGATAATCCTGGCCAGGTGGCCTTTGCCCTCTGGCTATTCCTGTGATTTCCCAGTGCTGATGGTAGTGGTTAGAATTTATCCTTAACCACCAATAAGTGGTGCAGGGCCCTGGTACCAGTGCTTGGAGTTGATTGCCCTTACCGTGTGAGGAAACTGAGCTATCCTCACACTGCTTAGGACTCACAAGTAGAGACTCTGTCCAGGGCTTTCAGGACCCAGCAGGGCAGAACCTAACCCCAGGTGGGATTTTGTCTGTTATTATCAGGGCCTGGCCAGTGATGTTTTGGGCCAAGGCTGCCTACCTGGAAAAGAACATAGAACTGAAGAGACATCTTAGAACATGGAGACAGCTCGGAGAGCTATAGGGTTGGTTAGCTGCTTCCTCTTATAGGCCAGCCGGCTGGTGACTTTCCAAAGGTTGTATACCCTTCTGACAGTGTCACAGCTGCCCGGGGTGAGAACTGGCTGCTCAGACTTGTCTGCTGGGCTGAGCAAACTGTGTGACAAAGGTTGGGTGTTGATTTGTGAGGTTTCAGCTCTTATCTGCATATAGCAAGAAAACATGGGTATGGTCAAGTAATCCTGATGTCAGGAAAACATTTCTGAATGTCTTCCTAACAAAAACAAACTTCATTTGTGTTAAAAAAAACAAAAAAACAACTTTAAAAAAATTGAGATAATTTGCATATGGAACTTTACATATGGAAAATGTCTTACCTGCAGCCCAGTGGGGTGAGTGACCATCCCTTGTCCTGCAGCCCAGAGCATTGTCTGAAGGCAGTGAGCTGTCTTAGGGTTCTCTGAGGTCCTGGGCTGGGTGCCCCTGCCTTTGCCTGGTCTTTTGTTAACTAAGAAATATGTGGTCCAAACAATAAGTACTTGCTGAATGAATGAATGAAAACTCTTCATTTCCTATCACAGGGCCAGTAAGGAAGACACAGCCATAGCATTACAAAGCAATCAGTTTGGAGGTTCAGGAGGGAACTTTTGGAAGCCATATCTGGGAGCCTCTTGCCCTACCTCTCCAATGCCCAGTGCATGAAGGGGCTTGATGGGAAAGGATGGTCTGTGAATGGTAGTGGCAGTTGATGGTCAGTGTCAAACAATCAGAAGCAGCCTTAAGCAGTTATTTTTTAAAGATGTATAAATATGTCAGCTTGTGTACTTTTTGTTGTGGGTGTAAATCAGCCCAGCAGATTGACTGATTGTTCCACTTTCAGTTGAACTGTGGCATGTGGTCAGCTGGGGTCTCCCTTCCTGCCCAGGACTCAGTGGGCACAGAGGAAGAGCAAGGCAGGAGGAGGGCTGGGGCCTTGAGAGTCCTTGAGGCACACACACAGCCCCACCCCACATTGTACATGGTTGTTGGTGTACGCACTGAGGGTCAGGCTGCCTGCTTGGGCTAATGGAAGTGGTGTCTACCCTTGAATTTTGCCTGTTAGTTGGTCCTGTTCGTTCAGCAGCTACATATACTGTTCACGTGCCAAGAGACTGCCCTTTTGCTTGATGTTAAGGATCAAAAATGGGTATGACTTATAGAAAGACAGATGATTTACAAGAAAAGCTAATGCAGATGACCATGGCATGAAAAATACTCAGTCTTTTCTGATACTAAGAATAATGTTCATTGGAGCTTCCCTAAGACAACACTCTGACCTTTTGTCCTGAGAGGTGAACACCGTTTTATTGGTGGCAATCAGGCATCACCATATGTTGCTTTTGCAGGTTCACAACTCCTCACAGGGGGATTTGCTTACTCTTTGGTTCAGCACATCCACTTCTAGAAATGTATCCCAAAGAGACACTGTCAAAAATAAGGATTGTGACAAGGCTGTTCATTACACCATTCTGAAGTAGCAAACTGGAAATGACTAAGATGTTTGTCAGTTGTGGCTGGGACTGATGGGGGTACATCTGCCAGTGGGTTGGAGCCAAGGCCCTGAGCAGAGGAAGGAGGGATGTCTTCGTGTCACAGTGACAGGATTTCTAGGGTAAAATGACGAGTAGAAAAAATAACATGGTGAAGGATAAAGAGATGTATTGCATTCACTCTTATCCCCCATCGGGAAAGATGGGGTGGTAGATAGCCGTATGTGTATTTGTTTATATTTAATTTTTTTAATGGATATACAGACCATAAATAAACCACACTGTCACCTTCAGAAGGAGGAATGAGAAGGGGATAGGGTTGTAAGGAGACTCCTTCCAGTTTTCTTTCTGTGTAGCACCAGATGCATGTTTTACATAATTAGAAAACAAAATTATGTCATTTGTTGGGGGAGGGGATTCCTAAAAACCAAAAGCAAACTGAAATAAATAAATCTAGGTGCATGTCAATTGTTCTTCAAGTTGGTGATTTAACCTCTTAGGATTTATTTCACATGACTTTAAAACAGTAGTTTGATTGTAAATGTTTTAGTGAGATACACCATAAGGGCAACAATTAAAAAAAAATCTTTATCCTTTTTTGGGAATCATATTTTTGGTGTCAGGTCAACAGTGCCAACAGTCTTACTAGTATATGTTGTAGGAGAAGACAATTAATTGATGTCTTTAAGGTCTAAAATTTTTAGGATGAAAGAAATATGCAAATAAAAGATCAAAGCACTTAAATTAAAATGTTTTAATTCTAAATCTGCATTGAGAATGTCCCAGTTGTGTACGATGGTACCAGGGTTGTGTCAGAAGGAACCACAGGGACTCCCCTGGTTAAGGGTAGGACAGGTGAATGAGTTGAGAATGAGTCCCTTAGTTGGAGCATCAAATGTGTTTAAAAAAATAAATAAATCCAGAGTTCATGTTGGTGCACAGAGGGAAGGAAGAGACTCACTGATACCCTTTGGCAGGTTAGGGAATCAACTCATTTTGAAAACTGATAGAGGAAGAGATGCAAGCATTTATCCTACCTCTTCTCTATGGACTGAACTTGCAAGGAACAAAATAGTGGATAGGGGCAAGTTTCCCTCAAAGATGGATGGGTGCTGCCCTACAGAATTTTCCAGGATGCTCTGTACTCACTCACACCATCCAATGTGGTACCTCGAATATTGTGATTGAGGAAGTCAAGTTTTAATGTTATTTAATTTAAATCTATTTAAACAGCCTCATATGAAAAAAAAAAAGCCCCATGTGGCTAATGGACAGTGTAGCTATTGACATATTCTGGCTAATTAATGTGAAATGATGGAATTATAAGTTCATGTATTTGCAGACAACTAATGAAATGGTGGGTCAGGACAATGATTCTCAGTGGCTGCCAGCCCCTGAGGAAGGATGCACATGCTTCCAGAGGGATGTGTGCTTGGTTGGGCCTCAAAATCTAGTTTATGGGAAATTGGGGTCATGTTACATTGTACAACAGGGATGGCACTGACAAAAGCCAGTTGTGGGAAACAGGACAAATGGCCCAATTTCTGCAACATATGATTGAAGGGAAAGGGGCAGGGAAGCCTTTGGATTTCAACCAACTGTGACTTTGACAAAGATTGCAGAATGATTGTTTAATTGTTGACGATGTAATCATGGGATTGTGTTTTTGTGTCCTGTGGTGATAAATACTGAACTGTTCACTGATAAATAATGCATAGGATTTGCTTCATAGAGGCTGGTGGGTGTGAGGTGTGTGGAAGACCAAGGTTGGTCATCTGATGACCATGGAAGCTGGGTGGTGGGCCAGGGCAGTTAATTGTGCTGTTCTGTCTGCTTCTTTGGGTATGTTTAAAATTTTCCATAATCAAAAGTTTGAAAAATGGGTTTGACCCTCAGGGGGCTTTATGATGCATGCCACCCAGATCAGGGGAAACACCTGTTTACAAAAGTGAGGGTGGTGGCCACTTGTGGCTAGTTTAAGTTCAAGCAGAAAACCTTCAGCAGAGATTCTAGAATGGCTGTGGAGGTCTTTGACCAGTAGCCTGTCAGGCGGGCCAGCCTCCCATTACAGCATCCTTATTTTCTGTAAAAACAGCACTCACAGTGCCCTTCCTGGAGCCCTTGGAAAATTTTAGTGATACAGTGAATGCTGTTCCCATTTCACAGGGGAAGAAGCTGAGGTGCATGAAGGCGAACCAGGTATTCTGGTTTTGACCCGATGGATGTACTGTGATGCCAATGGCACCTTCTGTTCTTTGAGTCTCACCCCCCGCAGGTACCTAGAATGCATCTTATCACCACATGTGCTGCTTCACTTCAATACCCTGATGCAGTAACATCCCATAAGTTGTTCTCTGACATAAATTATATTGATTAAAAATCAGTCTCACCTCTCCATTGGTGTCTATCCATAGCAGCTGTAGCCAATTAAGAGTGAATAATGAATAAAGTAGGTAGGTAGTTGGTCTTCAACATGACTTTGTTTTATAAAAAGTAGTGTTTTACAAGTTTGATCCTTATGTGTAATCTAGGGATTACTGCAACTCCCAGTTTGGGAGGGACCTAAGTCCCATGTCTCTGCTTGCTTTGTGCCACTGCCCACCCTACACATCTGTGTGTGTCTCCCCAAGGGCTTCCTTGGGCTGTGCTGCTCACCCATAGCAGGGTGAGAGCCTTTCGTTGGAACCCCCAAGGGTTTCCTTGGGGCGCAATCAGCCCCTGGTCCCTGGGAGAAGCTAAGCACGTGTTGGGATGAAATGAATGAGTGAAATACTTGTGAGATTGAGGTGTTTGGCACAGTCCCAGTGTGAAGCCTGTGACAGGCCTGACTTGAATC